ATAGTTAGAAATAAATGTCAAAATAGGTTTATGTCAAAATTACTAAGCAATATTTTATGTCAAACTAAAAATATATAATAATAATAATAAATTGTGCTATAACAGGCTAAAAATATGAGTTAATTAGGTAATGATGTCCATTTCTTTCAAGGAAGTGTCACTAGGAAACTCTTGTGTAGTATAATATACTTTGTCAATTAACAGATTCATTAAGCGTTTCTTAAAAATAGTCATTGGCAAACTCTTTATATTATTAGGTATACCACCACCCACAAAGATCTACCTGCCTCATCGAGCTGTTCATCCTCGTCACCTTTAGTGCCAACAAACTGACAGACAAATCTACCGTCTTTAGAACACCTACAAGCAGAGTAATAGAAAACCCGTGAATTCAGCGCCACGTCTTTCACTTGACCTTAACAATCATTTTATCATATTATCTTTTATTTTTCGTAGATAAAATCTATATTGTCTCTCATGTCAGTCGGTGAGGCTGTTATTGTTTACCACATAGCGGCAAAATGGCATTGATAAGCGAGATCGATACAACACTATCGCATTTTTAGTAAGCCATCATTTTAGGGGTTCGCTGTAATATTTTATAAGGATATGGTATTTGAAAATCAATTAGAAACCAGGGTATTATGATTACACCAATCCCAAAAACCAATACCGCCGAACGGACCTCACACCTGGCTCCCGCAACCCTTACAAGCTCCAGCAGTGGCTACCCACAGAGGACCCCGTAACTCTTCCGGGCGCTTTACGGCATCATATACGCTAAAAAATCCTGCGAATACCCTCTAAGCTGCTTAGCGCGAAGCCGCGGGATCCCCGATTAGGGATTCTTCCGCGTCTGCACACCTAGCAGCCCCACGGCAGGGGTCTCCCGGGGTATCGCGGGGACCCAGACGTACCACGCAGACGTGCGCAGGATGGCCCGCGCGTGGGGCCTGAGTACGCGGCCTAGTGCCCACCGTACCGCCCCCCGTCCGCTGCGGAGGGCTACTTGGGCGTGCCCGTGTAGCTCCCTCCACCGCCCCCCTCTTTGCAGGACAAAACTACAATGGGGGGCAGCCGTCACGGGGTCCGTCGGTGGCCGTTACAGCTGACGGCATGCCGGTCAGCGAGGGAACCCCCGGGTAGGGTCATGGACGGGCGCATCCAGGGCTCGCCGCCGTCCTCTCCTACCCTTCCTCCTTTGGCGGGAGGGACCGTTACCTACCCTGACCTAATCCCCTACCCCGTGGAGCCCTACAACGTTACCAACAGCAACACAAGACCACCAAAAGGCAGTGTTATTTCACTGTTGTCTTCTGTAAGGTGAAGGTTACTTTCCCAGACAAGCGCTCAAATTCGTAGTGAACCAATAACGGAAACTTTTGTGTACGAATCCGAATCGCACTTGGCTGTTATTGTTTTATCTGATCTGATCTTGTAAATAACAATAAGGTGATAATAATAAAGTGGGTACTTCTACACACTCAGGCGCAGCGCACACTGGGAGAGGCGCGGCGAAGAAGATACTAAATCGCGGCGACTACGACTCCCAGCGCAGCGACTGTGAGCGCGGCCTAGAGTCACAGAGCGGCATTCGGCTGCGGTCGTTGAAGTTAAGCAACTTTCGCAGTGGTCGGTCATCGGATGGGTGACCAAAAATTTACCAACTCGAGCTCCAGGCAACCTGCCTCAGTTTATACTAAGGCATAGTGCGCCAGACGAGGGGTGCTCTTTCGCGCCTCTCCTTGAACCATAATACCTTATACTGATAAATACTGTTTCTGTACCCCCCCCCCCCCACACACACACACACACAAATCAATATCGAATTCGAATAGTTTGCGAGTCTGAAATGTCATTGTCAAATTTTGTATGGAACCGAACAACAGCGCCATAACGGACGTAGCAAGAACTAAAAATCAGTACACATTTGACAATGACTTATCGCGCTCGCAAACTATTCGAAATCGATATTGGTTCATACTAAGGCTACAGTACTACTTTCGAAATATTATCTAATTATACCTGATATCTCAATCATTTATCTGATATTGAGGGTTGCATTAATGTATCTTATCAATTGGTTTTGTAATGACACTGTAACAATATCATATTTATAATTTCTAATATTTTAAAGCATGTAACTGCTTGATGTTTAAATCTAAAGAAAATATAACTAGAGAAAAAATTCCACGCGGACCAGACTCGAACCCGCACCCTTCGCAATCCGGGCGAATGCACTGACCAATTATGCTACCACGGGCTGCGTCGAAATTCTTCTAGCCATTCTTAAGCTGCAATATCATATTTTGCAAATATTATTACATAATTAACCGATGTGAATCTTTTTCGTCTGTTATTCTTCAAAGCTCTCAGCTAAGAAGTGTCCTCAACATGTGGTAGAGATAAAAATTTTGACGATTCAAAAAAAACGTTAAAAAATTATTTTATTTACTTTGACTTACAAGAAATCCTAGCCACCTAGATGAAACCTTAACATTGTAAGATACAGCTCGACAGACATAAAACAGACAAACGGACAGTGGAAGCTTGGTAATTGGATTCCGATGTTACCCGTGAGGTGTATAAGCTGACATCGCAATAAACGTTGCGAGATTGCCATTTCAGCGTGAACGCGACGAAATACAATATTTCAATCGTCAAAATTGTCATTTGGCGCCGTGATTGACGGCTCTTTTAACGGCTTTGTTAACAATGTTTTGTACACACTAAAAAGTCAATATGTTAAAATAGACTATTTCTTGTCGGCGTCTTATTTTGCATTCGTACATCGTTTAGAATAAATATTTTCATTAAATAAATATTAAATTATTGATTGCGAGGCGCAGCGCATTACCTCACCATACTTATTATTATCTAAGTAAAAGTGATAGTAAGTGTCACCGCACACGGGCCACCGACCACAACCACAAAACGCCGCCACCGGCATATTTCTTGTATTTTCATACTTTTTATATGGACTCGCTACACACGGTACGCCGGTGGCCGCCACACGCTACAAATCGTCGTTGCTCGCTTCTTGTAGCTCGCACACTTAATGCGCCGATACAAAACGCCACCACACATCACTCGCGCGATTCCCCACCCCTCTCTCCCTTACCTTAGTCGGCCGCTGTCGGAGCTTCAGCCACTTTAGTAGCCGCTTCTAGCTTCTCGTGGCGGCGTTTGTGGCTGTGGCGTGTGGCCCGTGTGCGGCGACACTTAGAGAGGTAGGGCATAGCAGAATTTCCGCTCTTTTGAAGCACCCGTTTGGGAAAGTAATATCCTCCTTACAGAAGAGTAAAATAACACTAGCTTTTGGTGGTGTTGTGTTTCTGTCGCGTTTTAAAAAAAGGTTTTTTTTCGTGTCGATAGCGTCTAAAGGCTATTGGCTATAGTGGCTTGTTTTCCACCCTTTAAACATAAATAAGTTTTCTGCAGAAAAGTGACCTGCTCTAGTCTCAACTTGCCAGCCTGTACCAAATATCTTACCCCCTTGAAAATCTCAGAATCTTGCTCATTGTCAAACTCAAACTATAGTAAAAGGCACAGAACAAAGAAAGAGGTTAGAAGGGACTTCAGAGACCTTTTGTACGAGAACCGATGTCGCCGGCTCGCCCGCACTACGCTTACACCTAATAGATATTAGCCAATCAAACGCCGTGACATCAAACAATCGAACCAATCGGCGCTCACACCCCATCGCAACAAAGCAATCGTTGCCAAGTTTTGGTCAAGTTATGAGCATTTGCTCACAACTAACTGTGGCGTGCCTGCCCCGCCCACAAGGCCCTTCTAACATCTTTCTGTGTTCTGTGGTAAAAGGTAGTATTAACAACCAATTGGAAATGATAAGAAAGCATTACTTTCTCACTTATACAACTAAACTTCAATGCTAACGCGACACGCACACAGACAAAATGAAATATTTTGACAAATCAAATATTTGCAAATGAATTCGGCTATCCATTCATTAGATAAGATAAGGTTAAACGGAAATTCCAGCCAATCCCATGATTGGTTTATTGACCGGAGTTTTTTCTACTGCTTTAAAGCTGGAAGATTTGCCTAAGCTACTGAATAGAATTTCGTTTACTTTTACCCCGTCATCATCACTATAATCTCCATAATGTTCATCGTATTCTGGCTCAGTCCAGCCTCTCAGCCTTGCCTCTTATCGTTTGTTCGTTATGGTTCTTACTGAGTAGCGTTTGTTTCTTATTTCCCCTTTTCTAAAGACTCTTTGTTTCATTTGTGTAAGTCAAGAAATATTTTTCTCATAACAATGGGTAATTTGAGTAGCGTCTTTGACAGTCAGTAATACAATACTTACTTTTAGTTTGTTTTTGTTTCACAATTTTCCTGTATCATGTTGTTCTTAGATTAAGTATTTCTTTTGTAATTTCGTACGCAAATGTTGACAATGACAAAGATTTTTTTATTACAAACTTGTGACAAGCATCTACTTTGAAGATTCAGTTTTCACAGAATTTTAATTTCCATCACCGCAATATAAATATATACAAATAAATTTTAACCCTTCTGATATTTCACATAAAGGAAACATAAAATAAAACGCAAAATCAATTTCAAATTTTAATTACCTTATACAGTGAAAACTTAATGATTTACCAGACTTTCATGCCTAGAAGGAATCAAATAAAAAATATTACGTTAAAATGATAATTTTAATAAACATATTTATTTAATAAAAAATACACATTTGATTAAAAATATTTAAAATTATAATACTGCAATGGATTTTTTGTTTAAAATAAACAATTCAATTTGCCAATACCTTTTTTCTTTCAGTAGGCAAAATAACATCAATATAAAATTAATATTTGATATCGTTATGTCCTAACATAATTTTGGCAGTAATAATGAACAGCTTGAATTAAATTAATTGAAATCCCGGATTCTATCAAAAGTTCTTTGACTTTTGAAAAGACTTTTTGAACTTTTGAAAAGACAAAGTCTTTTGACACTATCCAGAATGTTGTCGATATTTGAGTTACTTCCCTAAAATGTATCCATTAATATCTCAAAAACTTTATTGTTGATCAATCGTGGTGCTTCTTTCGCCCACAAGTAATCCACGTGATTGAATTTCGGGTACGGCACTAAATACATCTGCGTCGTCATCGGTAGCGTCTCGTGTAGCTTTCTCACATCCATTTCATTTGAAAGCAGGTCATTCTTCGCCCAAAACAAAGTTATATTCAACGTAACTTTACTTAAATCGTAATCCGGCGGTGTCGCAGTACCGTAAATCCTCAGATTGCGTTCTTCGTAACCGTAGTCAAAGTGCTGAAATCTGCCCGACAAAATCATTTGGGCCATGTGCACAGCCGTTTTCCAAGACGTGCCTGTTCCCAATTTGGATAGAAACATATGTTGCACTGTTTGGTTGAACTGTTCTTGATCTTCACCGCAAAGATAAAATATGATGTTATTGCAAATTTTGGTGTTAGCGTGTTCAGCTTCGCACATTTTGTGTAGGCGACCCAAAAAGGAATCTTTCGGTACGAACTCATAAACTCCAGCCACGATTTGTGCGTGAGCAAACCCGCTCGTTATGCCAGCCATCGATTTCAATGGTGACACCATATTGGATAAAAACACTTCCGGGGCCATAGCTATGCCTCCAACGAGCTTATTATTATATTCCGGACGAACAGACAGCATTGTGAAAAGTATTGTAGTTCCCATGGAATGTCCTATGTAAACAATTTTTGTATCGACCCCTTTAACTTTGTGAATGTAATCGATCACCGCGGGAACGTCAAACACTGCTACTTCGTGCCACGAAAAGTTCCAATATTCCTTGGTGTTTTCCTTATATCGAATATGTTCCCTGGAATATTTATTTCCCCTTATGTTCGCCATCCATACATCATAACCAGCATCAGCTAGTGCATACGCAAGGGCTTTCTGAGGGCCATTAAGGATCCAATCGGCAGAACTGGCAAATAAACCGTGATGAAGAAGAACAGTATTTCTAGAAACAGGTCCTCCAACTTTAGAACGAGGGATTCGGTGAACGTTTAACAGAAAACCGTCAGAGAGGATTGTGTGTGATTCACAGTCGTAACCATTACGCCTTATGATCGCTGGCACGGATAATACTAAATCTGTTTTCTCCAATAACGAAGCAGGATCCTCTGTCGGCATAAAGGAGTAGGTTTCCATGAAGTTTCGCCCGGTCTCTTGGAATTTTTCAACATAGCTGTTGACATCGTTGGATATTTTCTTCTTCTGTTCTTCTACATAATCGCTGACTTTATTTTGTATTTCAATCGTCCCTACGTAGCTTGAATTAACAGCGCTTTCGACAAGATTGAATTGATCTCTAATGAAGTTGTTCATTTTTGAAGTTTGCTGACTGAAGAACTCTTCAAATGAATTCGCGGAAATCTGAGAGACCACAACAAGTATAATCGCACACAAAGTTAGTCGTCTAGACATGTTGAATGATTAAAAGTTAGTACTGATACTGACTCGAGACCAGAATGCGAACAGTAATATTATGTTCCCCGTTGACCTTAGAGATCACTTCGGACGTCATCTTCTGATAAAACATTATTTTAGTGTATGTGCGTAAAAGAAAAACGGATTTCGTTTAGTGTATCAAAAAATAATTAAACACACCGTCTTTGAAGTTATCAATAAAGTTTTACAATTATTATATAAATTCTTACAGGGTCACGGCCAATGTGACGTTATTAAACGGATGTTTGTTCACTGAACGAATATCTTAAAACTGACAAAACAAGAGTATGTGATTACAACAAATAGGTCAACTACGTCTCCTGGGCTATGTTTCTTAATATAATGAAAAAATATTTATTTTTGATAATATTTAAAAAAAACTAGGGCATACGCAAAGTGCGGGGACGCGGAAAAATCCCACCAAGGGGATCCCGTGGAGCCACGGCATCAGGCAGTGGTGAAGGTATTCGCAGGACTTTTTTAGCGGATATTATGCCGTAAAGCGCCCGTAAGAGTTGCGAGGTCCCTGGTGGGCAGCCACTAGGGGGTTCGTGAGACTTGCGGGAGCCAGGTGTGAGGTCCGTTCGGCGGTGTGCCTCTTAAAGGCGCCGTCGTCTGTAAAAAGATTTTTTACCTGCGTAACAAAAAAAGGGCATACGCAAAAAAAATAACTCGCTAAATTACAATCACCTTGTTGACGCAAGAAAATGCATACACTGTTTTTGTTTTGACGACAACACTATTTTTTAACACAAAAAAGGAGGTTATCAGTTTGACCCATATGATTTTACCGTTCACTTTTACATACTTTTTTATAATTAATTTTTAAATAGAGATAAAAGGGACCTGGGAAAACCTCAAATGTAGTTATTTTTGTGTTGCAAATATAATCTAAAGATGATGAAATGGGAATCAAATAAAATACATATACCGTTTGATACTAAAACTCCGAAAAAACTAAAATACTGCCATCATAAATCCAATAATGGAGGTGTTGTGTCGTGTCCAAATGAATCGCCAGCACACCTGAAAATGGACGGTGGTGTAAAAGGATATATGTCTGTTCGAATGAGAGATGGCATTATTTCTCGACATATCTCGCACCAGATGCGAGATTTGTCGGGAAATCTGAATTCTTTGTAATTGTCGACCCTCCGTGAAATCAGCTACGGGTCACAGAGCTTGAATCCTTTGAATTGAGATTTATTTGTCAATCTACTTTCGAATTGAGATGTTTCACATAGCATTGTTCGGCCTAATCAATAAGCTTTCGCTCTTCTTATATCGCACGGAACATCGTGTATTCGGTCCGCGTACTTACATAATAATAGAATGATCAAACAAACTTACCGGCGGCGCTACGGTACCTGTAATATAAATGCGAGCGACTTATATCTTACTAGCGGCCCGCCCTCGCTTCGCTTCGGTGTAGAGCTGAAGTGCAGACTACAGTTTTCGTTCTTAGGCTTGTATTATACACAATGACATTCATCTATGATTCTTCATATACCTGCATGCAAAGTCTCAGCCCGATCGGTTTAAAATTGACAAAATTTCATACAAACTTTCATTCCCTATTTTGTCCCCTTGGGGGTAGAATTGATCAAAATCCTTTCTTATCGGATGCCTTCATCAGAACATCTACCTGCATGCCAAATTTCAGATCCGTCCAGTGGTTTGGGCTGTGCGTTGATAGATCACTATGTCAGTCAGTCACCTTTGAGTTTTATATATATAGATTTTTAAGAAGTATTTCTTACAGAATTAGGCTGTGTTAGAAGATTTAGGTAATAATTCATTCAAATATTTTTTTTTTGCCTAAAAGCAGGACACGGCATTCCTAAACTTTGTTAAACCAGTTTTTTATATACTCATAATTTTTATATTATTTGCATTTGTAATGGAAAGTGACTTTATGAGTTACCTCGTATTGAAGTCATTTTTCAATTTGACGACTCTGTATATAATACAGGGAGAGAAAAACAGCCCTTGCTTTCTTACCGGTTCTTCTCAGTACAAGGTCTCCCGCCGTAGATTTGCGAACCGATGGCGTAGCTTTTCGACATTCACAAGTGCTTGTAACAGCCTAGACTGAATAAACGATATTGAATTTTGAATAAAAAAATTATTGATTTCTCTATTATAAAAAAAAACTACCTGAAACCATGACTGAGTTGTTTTTTTTATAGCACCTTTAATTTCTTTAATAAAATAGCGTGGTTAGTGGTGTATCCCTACTTTCTAAGGTAACCACGTAAGACCAGCGTTGGGCAGTCTACGACATCCGACACAATATACTGAGTTTTTCCATTTAATCGACGCAAATGTTTAGACCTAGTATTTAGGTATAAGGTACAATGTTGAATGTATTATTTGTGTCACTGAATAAAAAAATTCTTTCGTCCTTTCTTATCATCCAAACACGGCGCAGCATATACTAGTAACAGACAAGACGGCGTACCTACTCCGTAAAGTCTAAAATTATAAACTCTAAGTGAAGTTTATCCAGGATGTTTTCAAAATTGGTAACAATGTGTGTAAGTAAGCAAGAGAGACATTATAAAACGCCATCCCAGTTTAAAGTGTCGTCTGGAGAATTGCTTCGCTGTGCCGCCGAGCACCTTTACAGCTCGATTATTGCGCGGCCAGCTATTTAAAGCTCTGTTTATAGCTGCGAGCAATAAAAGAGCGCTTTAAGGTTGTTATTTTTAATATTATGGCTACAATGTTGCCGTTAGCTAACCTGAAAGTCGACATTTAGATCTCGAATTTCGTACTTTCAAAGTTTGTGAGACTTCTACTCAGGGTTGGATTTAGAAGGAGAATGGGTAGGAGAGGTCGGCGGCGCGCCCTGGCTGCGCCCGTGACCCTACCCGGGGGGTCCCTCGCTGACCGGCATGGCGTCAGCTGTGCCGGCCACTGACGGACCACGAGACGGCAGCCCCCCCTTGTTCTGTAGTTCTGTCCTGCAAAGAGGGGGGCGGCGAAGGGAGCTACACGGTCAGGCTCAAGTAGCCCTCCGCATCGGACGGGGGGGGCGGTACGGTGGGCACTAGGCCGCGTACTCAGCCCCCATGCGCGGGCCATCCTGCGCACGTCTGCGGGGTCCCCGCGATACCCCGACAGATCAAACTTAAATACGGCCCTCATAAATCCAATAATGGAGGTGTTGTGTCGTGTCCAAATGACTCGCCAGCACACCTGTGAATGGACTGTGGTGAAAAAGTCGCAATTTAGTTTCACCTTGCATGTATGTCCGAGATTTGTTTTTCATATAATATCCAAAATTGTATTTTCAGTATCCACCCTTTAGATTTAGTGATTTTTTTTTTTGTTTTTGTTAATGCAGACAGAATTTGTATTTATTAACTTGTTTTGTGGGAAATGTCTTTTGCCATAGCGTGTGGGAGAGGGAGAGAGAAATGTTTTTTTTCTCTTCTTTCTTTTTAAATGGCTGTGGCAGAGATATTTTGATACGTTCAGCCAAGCATGTTTTGTTTTTATTTTTATTTCTGGTTTTTTATTTTGTTTTCTTTTTTTATGTTATTTATTGTTCTTGTTGTTATTGATTCGTGCGACACCAAACCGGTTCCAACGGAAGACCAGCGCTAATGGCAACATTAGCACTATGCTGAGTTGGGACCGTTTTGAGACTAAATTTAATTGTTTTATTTCATTTTTATATTATTATGTTTTTTTTTGCTGTCTCAAATAAAATTATTTCTTCCTTTCTTTCTTTCTAAAACGATATATGTCTGCTCGAATGAGAGATGGCATTATTTCTCGACGGAGGCTGCTAGGAGACGCGGACGAATTCCTAAACAGGGATCCCGCGGCTTCGCGCTAAGCAGCTTAGAGGGTATTCGAAGGGTCTTTTTAGCGTATATTATGCCGTAAAGCGACCGTAAGAGTTACGGGGTCCTCAGTGCGTAGCCACCGCTGGCGCTTGTAAGGCTTGCGGGAGCCAGGTGTGAGGTCCGTTCGGCGGTGTGCCTCTTAAAGGCACCGTCGTCTGTAAACAGTATTTTTTGCCTGCGAATAAAAAAAAAGGTTGGATTTAGAGGTGTGGAGGCCCTGAGGCGACGAAAGGAGTGGAGGCCTTTAAATCTCTAAATCTTGGCCGGATACGACTTACGTCTTGCAACCCTGCGCGGTGCGGCTGCGCCTGCGACACCACAGGCTGTCGGAGAGCACCATTAAATGCACGCACTATGCATACAGTGCAATACTGCATTGAGGGTGCTGTTGGGGCTGCCTCGGTATTTGCATCATGCATGTTTGCAAACAGAATAACGTCGGGCTGCACTCCGGGAGTGCCGGCAGAAGTGAAAACTTGAATATTCACGTTGTGCATTTTTGATGTTTTGGAATGGTTAGGGAATAATTTTGCACGAATTGCTTTAATGACCAGTATAAAAGTACTATCATGTATGTGGTAGAATACAATATTTATTTATTGCGCTATCGTATACAAACATGACAATTTATATTACATTAAAAAAGTTTATCTCTCAGAAAAATCAACTTACATGAATCACGTTTAAGCGCACTTAGCGACATCTATTGTAAAGAAATCAACTTACATGAATCACATTTAATCGCACCTAGCGACATCTATTGTAAAAAAATGCATTTTCTTCGCAATAAAGCTTCCACGTGGACGTCCTAGATAGAGACTTCATATTATAATACGATAAAATAAAATATTACAATGTTTCGTCCAATATATTGAGAGTCAACCTTTCCAATTTCATTGTGTGTCATGATGCGATCAGCCCACGTGTTTAACCTGACGCGAGTTTAATATTTTTTAACCCATCCAAAAAAAGTGTACAACGCCACTAAAGGAGTTTTCACTTCAATAATCTGGGTGACTTTTACGCCATAATGAGGAAGCGCACTGCCTGGATGTTACAGCGATTCAGGGGTAGTACATAATATCCTCATCACACATATAAATACATACATGCAGGTGTGCATAATTGATTGATTAGTG